ACGCTCCGTACCAAGACTGCTGCCCTTACCTCGTCGCCACGGCTGGGTTCGCCTCGAGTTTCTGGTCGCAGCGGGCCCTTGGGATCGGTTCAAAGGGATAATCGGTATCGGTACTATTCTGTCACCCCGGGACTCTCCCTCCCTCGGACGGCCGCGAAGAGTGGGTAATGGGGGGAGGGGGAACTTCTTAGAAGCCACCCCTGTTTTATAACGCGAGCCTTGTCTACCGGTGCAGGCAGCGACCTTCTACGCACACCCATCATTCTATAAGCCTTCCCCCCGCCCCCATACCCCCCCCCTTTGCGCGCCGCCAAGCAGATCTCCCAGACGACCATTTGAGAGTCCTCCGCGAGGGTAGCGTTACGGACAGGCGGTTTGAAGGTGAAGGTTTTCATACGTTTTCGTCAGTTCTCGGCGCCGTAGGGCGCGCCGCCAAATGAACACAATGATTCGGAGGTCCTCGCCGATTTCTTGGATATCTGCGCTGGGCGCTGTGGCGGCGACGCCTTCGGCGCCGCCCCTGGCTCTGTCCGCGCGCCAGGGAAAGCCGAAAGGGGTCTTCTACTCCTCTTCCTCTTCCTCCTCTTCCTCCTCCTCCTCCTCCTCCTCCTCTTCATCCTCCGCCTCTGCCTCCGCCTCTTTCAACGCAATCAACGCATCAGAGGCGCCTGCGAGCTAGCCAACGAGGTGAAACCAAATCCGACAGTTTGTCGAGCGTAACGGCTCGCAGGATTTCCAGGGAGGCTCACGGCTTCCAGAGCACCCCTCGCGAGGTCCAGAGGGCCCCATGGGGCTCCAAAAGTGGACCGGAAGGCTAGGGGCACATTGAGCCACGGGCACCTTGGCAGCAACACCCGACCTGGAGCCACGGGCACCATAGTAGCAGCACCCGGCCTTGCTGCAGCTTCTTAGTAGAACACCCGACCCCATCCGCGCGGACATCCGACCCCAAATGGTGCTTGCACTTAGGGGCTCTCATTGCGAAGGCCTTACGGCCGGTGCCGCCGACCCTGAAGGGGAACGACGACGGCGGCGGCGGCGGTAGCGACGACGACGATGCTGACGTGGGTTGAGTCCTCAAACGTGCTTCTTGGGGTTTCTTCCGAGCGCTCTCGGGGGCCTCTGGGGGGATGTTTGCGACCCCAAATGGTGCTTGCACTTAGGGGCTCTTATTTGGTTATCATGCGGAAGTGTGCCTCTCTGGCGGCTCTGGCGGTTCTGTGGTCGTCGTCGCCGCCCCGTCTTCGCCCCGACGCCGCCTCGCCGCCGCCCGTCGTCTGGGCCTGCGTGGCGGTCGGGCGGCTCCGTGGTCGCCGTCGCCGCCCGTCGCCGCCCGTCGTCTGGGCCCGCGTGGCGGTCGGGCGGCTCCGTGGTCGCCGTCGCCGCCCCGTCGCCGCCCGTCGTCGCTTTCTAGATGGCACATCCTCTTCTCTGAGCAGGAGTTCGGATCCACCGCCGCCCCGAGGCCGGGAGAATCCCCCCTGCAGAGATGCAGTTTGCGCGTGATTCTGCCCCATCGCCCATTCTGAATATGAGCTCATATGATCCCAGCCAGGCCCGGTTGGAGCCCCCACCACCATTCTTTCTGCAAGAAGTGCGATGCGCGCGTTCTCATTGATCATACATCATAGATATTTAACCAGCCAACGCAACACATGTGGCGAGGTGCACACGCACGGGTCGTCGTTCGCTTGCAGGTTTTACAAAAATTTGGGTCCCGCAATGATATCAAAACCGAGTGTCCCGAAACATATACAACACATGGCTTTGCAACTCCACTGCGACCCAACGGGCCTCCCACGCGCGCGCATGTCCAAATCATTCCAACACCCTTGCTCGCGTGTTGGTGGGGGCACGATCTGTGTGAAATGATGCTGTGCGGGCCTCTCGCGCGCGTCGGCCGCGCGTGCATGTCAACATCCTTTTCTTCAAGACCTTTAACGCCGACGCGTGGGCACCATCACCGTCATCGACCTGATCAGCGTCGGCGCCGTCATCCGCCTTGCCGTCGTCACAGTCATCGTCGTCATTCGCATCGGTGCAAACATCATCGTATCTGCCGTTGTCGACGTCGCCATGATACTGCGCCCGCCTGAGTCACCGACTTCCACTGAAGTGCCCGCGCGTGGGCCACGAAACCTCCCAAGTCCTCTTTGGCGTCGTGGTCGTTTCCGTCGTCGTTGTCGCCGTGGTCGTCCTTCCTCCTCTCTCGTCGTCGTCGTCCGTCGTCGGCGTCTCGTCGTCGTCCCTCCTATTTTTTCGTCGCCGTCGTCGTCGTCGTCGTTGTCGTCGTCGTCTTCCCTCCTCCCTCGTCGTTGTCGTCGTCTCCGTCGCCGTCCTTCCTCCTTCTTCGTCATTCGCGCCGTCGCCGTCCTCCCTCCTCCCTCGTCGTTGTCGTCGTTGTCGTCGTCGCCGTCGTCGTCCTTCCTGCTCCCTCGTCGTCGTCTTCGTTGGCGTCGTCGCCGTCGTCGTCTTCGTCGGCGTCGGCGTCAGTGTCGTCGTCGAAGTCGTCGGAGACGTCGTCGGCGTCGTCGTCGTTGTTGTCGTCGGTGTCGTCGTAGTCGGTCTCAAGAGGTTTTGCAAACCAAGTTGCGGGTGGGTGGGTGGGATGTTTGCGCGAGCAGTGGAGATGACGACTTCAAATTCAGCAGAGTGGATTCCTCCACGTAGACTGCACCACGCAGATTGCATCGCGTAAAGTGTGCCAGATGGATTGGGCACCATATATATATATGTATCTCTCTCTCTATATATGTATATTGCACTTCGTATGTCGCGCAACGAAGGTTGCGCAACATGGGCTGCACCACATATGTAGCACCACATGATTTGCTCGACAAATATTGCGTAACATAGATCGGGGGACGTATTACATAACATCGATTGTACCACATACATTGGAGCACGCGTATTGCACCTCAGGTATCGCTCCACACATCTTGCGCAACATGGAGTGCGCAACGTAGATCGCGCAACATATTTTGCAAATTACAGCTGGCGCCATGTCTATTGCACCACATCTGTTGCTCGACATAGACTGCCAGAAGCACACGGTTCGAGGTCAGCACCGGTTGATATTCTTGTTCTGTGTACAAGGATCCTCCCCGGACGGCAAAGGCGGATGACTCTCTCGTCGGATGTCTCCCTGGCGTGGAGGCCATGTTTCTTCGGGCGGATCCATCCTCGCAGGGGTGCCGTGATCCAGGCCCTCAGGGCGGATGGGGGAGGGCGAGGCGGAGGATGTGGACGCGGCTCTGCGGGGGGTGCGGCCGTGCACCGCTGCAGAGAACAACACATATTCGTCTTCGTTTCGCCGCGGAGAGCTGCGCCAGGCTTGGTTGGTCCCGACGTTCCTGGACCCGCACCAGGTGCTCCAGAGGACGCCTCCTCGCTCTCCTGGTCTCTCTCTCTCTCTCGTTCTTTTTTCTCTCCTCTTTGAACAATAGTATCTGTCTGGATGATCCTCAGGACGCGTGTGAGCCAGATGTGTGCCAACCCCCTCAACCCCTCCGATGGCGCGCAGCCTCTGTCTGACCTCTTCCTGCTACCCCCCTCTCCTCTATCATAGTGGGGTCATCAGAAACGTCCGCATTTGGTCGCGCCTGACTACACGTGATCGGGATCTCCTCGGCATCGACAGGACGCGACAGCAAGGCGAGCCCCTCATTCGCTGTGCTCGGCCCACGAGTTAATGGCTGCACAGCGGCGCCAATCCCTTGGAGAGCGTCAATGCGCTGGCGCTAACACAGGTTCTGAGTATCATCGACTCCTCCTCCTCCTTCTCCTCCTCCTCCTAACCCTCCTCCTCCTCCTCCTCCTCCTCCTCCTCCTCCTCCCTCCTCCTCCTCCTCCCTCCTCCTCCTCCTCCTCTCCTCCGCCTCCTCCCCCTACTACTCCCCCTGCTCCTCCTTCTCCTCCTCCTCCTCCTCCTCCTCCTCCTCCTCTTCCTCCTCCTCCTCCTCTCCCCTCCTCCTTCTCTCCTCCTCGCTCCTCCTCCTCCTCCTCCTCCTCCATCCTCTCCTCCTCCTCCCCCTCCCCCTCCTCCTCCTCCTCCTCCTCCCGTCCTCCTCCACCTCCCTCCTCCCTCCTCGCCTTCCTCCTCCTCTTCCTCCTCCTCCTCCTCCTCCCTCCTCCTCCTCCGCCTCTTCCTCCTATCCTCCTCCTCCTCCTCCTCCCTATCCTCCTCCTGCTCCTCCTCCTCCTCCTCTCTCCTCCTCCTCCTCCTCCTCCTCCTCCTCTCCTCTCCTCCTCATCCTCCCTCCTCCCCCCCTCCCTCCTCCTCTCCTCCACCTCCCCCTCCTCCTCCTCCTCGTCCACTTCATCCCCTCTTCTTCCTCTCTCGCCTCCTGCTCCCCCTGCTCCTCCTCCTCCTCCCTCCTCCTCCTCCTCCTCGTCCTCCTCCTCCTCCTCCTCCTCTCTCCCTCCTCCATTCCTCCTCCTCCTCCTCCTCCTCCTCCTCCTCCTCCTCGACAGTGGACACATTCGACAAGAAATCGTTTGAAGTCGTGTTCGATCTTCGGGTTCGTCGATTTTTGGGCGTCTTGAGGTGGCCCAGGTCCTCCGTGGATAGCCGAGGACACCGGGTGTTCAGTACAGTTTAGTGGTGCACCTGCTGGCAGGCCGTCTCATCATGTTTCTATTCTTCTTCCCTTGCGTAGCCATTCTGGTTCAACGTCGCCCACGCTCGTGGATCGCTCTACCGTGGCCAGCATGGTCGCTTCGCCGCTTCCGTTCGCGGGAGCCGGCCGAGGGACATTTGTCTCGTCGATGCCATTCGCGGCTTCGTGCAGCCCAAAATTCATGCCGCAAGCGTGAGCGTGAGCAATATCCACGACCTCTGCCAGCCCAGTATC